CTCCTGCAAGTGGCCGCGACACTGGAGGGGGACATGACCCCGCCAATACATGAAAAAATAAGAAAAACCGTTAGTGAGTTGTAGTGAAAACGTGAATTGTGCGGAAATCGTGTGGAGACTGGGGCTGGCGATAGCGCCGGCACCAATGCGACCTCCCCCCCTAGGGTCTAGGGGGTAAGCTCCGAGAAGGGAGCGAATGGAAGACAGAGAACACAGACACTTCTTGAATTGTCGTTTTTCGACGGAATAAAGCTGTAGAGCCCGAGAAATGGGGCTAATGTAGGTGTAGTATGTAGACCTGTAGAGGGACAGGAAACAGCGTAGTCGCAGCAGTAGGCGCCGCGCACTACACCACTGGTCCTCGAACCACGAAGAGAGCAGCGCCGAGGGAGTAGGGCTCGGCAAGCATCTTTGGCCGCGAAAATGGCAGGCAGTCCATCTCTGACGAAAGTGAGGAAGAACTATTCCTTGAACTCTCCAGAAAAGCTGTCGCTTCTTAGTTTTCCTTACCATTAAAGCAACAAACCTGTGCGTGTACTTGAGTACGTGAACACTGTGTCATTCGCGCAGAGGACACCATTTCAAAAAGCCCTGCCATCTGCATCTATGAGCTCTTCTGCATCATCCAAGGGGATGCCTCGCGTAGATATCGAAATTCTTGACTTCAAAGCTCTTGATTAGGACACCCAGCTCTACCATTGTTGCTCCTGTCGGGCTAATGCCATTCCTTGATTTTCTGCCCTGCGTTGGGAGAGATTTCGTGCCCAAAAAGCTCAAAAAAGTTAATTTTCTTCAGGATAGTGCTCCAGTGATTCAAGTAGTTCAGTTCTGACGGAAATTCTAGACGCTAAAGCAACTGTCCATCTGACAGGTATCAGGAATATCGCCTTCGTCTTGACGCTATGCAGCAAAATTTCCTTTTTTCCAATTTCTAATTCAAAAAGCTTCCAAATCTTCTCAGCCCTAATTTCCAGCAGTGCTGTGGCAAAGAATACCTCACTATCTTGAATCTTTAACTTATCGTAACACAATGTGTTCCGAGAATACGTTCAAACAGTAATGCCTTCTGTGCAGGTTGTTTTTTACACAGCCTTCCCTGCACACCGGGCACGGCGCCTGCTGCTGCCTAGTCAACTGCAGGGCTGTTTCCGCTACATATTAGCAGTAGTCCTCTAAAAATTGTTTTGCCGTGCGGAGTAGCTGCCGCCGATTTGGCTGGCCAATATTCAGGGCCCAAGCATTGGATCGAATTGATGCCCAGGATGGAATATGATAAAGCTGATGTTCTTCATGGGCTTTCCATTTATGCACATTCTGAATCAGTCCATCGTGTGTTATACTTAACAAAGAATTGGATTAACCACGAGCCTACAGCTGTATCAAAGGCATTTGCTGAGAGCACACGAGAAGGAGGCAGCGCGGACTTGGCCCGTAAGTTCCTTTGGCTTCACATGGTAGTGAAAGAAAATTCTTTCGGGCCAAATGTTGTATTGTAGATTCAGTGATATCCGATGAGCGTTCTACCCCGCTTCATATATGAAGCTTTGCAGTAACTTTGTTTTTTCCGACACTTGCAGGAACAATATGTGCAAATGAAACCAAAAGCTGCCTCTCCGTGCGACAACAGCGAAGCAGGCGAACCAGCCTACTACAGGCAGCTATCTATGCATCAAACTGAACTCAGTTTAGTTTGGACTTCGGGGCCATTGCATTTCCCTGAGTCTCTTCAGGCAAGGCATCGTCTGCGATGGCACACAGCTGATGAGTAAGAAACTGGGGGAGTTTTAAAAGGAAGTGGCAGAGGGGTCCGTGATAATGTGCTAGTATAGGCATAGAAGCTACCATGACGTAGGCTGCGCAGCGTCAAAGCAAAGCTTGAAAGCCGTTTGCTGCAACTAGTATTTAGACGCCCCGTGCTCATTGTCGCTAGGGTACTTTTTGGTTCATTTGTTCCAGCTCTCTTTCTCTCCTTGTATGTCCTAAGGAAATCAATCGGTCAGCAATACCCCTCGGTCAGCAATATCCCTCGACCAATCATGAAACTATCTTTATTCAATTTTACAGCCTTTCGGCTGCTGCCTCTCCATTTATGCTGCACTCTTCTGCACAGTACACTAAGGCTTAATAGCGCTGTTTCTTACTCCATAATACGCCAAAAAGTGGAAAGCACGGAGTTGCACACTTGCGCAGCTACAGAGCTACCCTCCATCTGAATCTCCTCAGAGTCTCAGTGACTTCTGTGGTATTGGAACCATGCACCTAATCGACTAAATTGAGTATGAGAATAAAAAGCAAGTATGGGAGCCCAGAGAATCTAGAAGGTAAGTTGTGTGCAGTGAATTTCAAGCAAGACAGAAAGCCCCATGCTGGCCCTCAGCGAAGGGCCATTCACCGAAGCCAAAACACTTCAGCTGGGATACACCTCCTTCTCTAGAAATGCCACTACTCTGTAGGGGAGCAGAACGGGAAAAAAAAATAGTGCCATTCTCTCTATGCAACAAAATACGCACCACTCAAGAGCCACTGACTGTTACTGGAGCTGCTGCTGCTGACGGAGTGCTACTGGGGTCAGCGACACTTCGACAGCAGCAGCAGCAGCAGCATCATTGCTGGTGGTGGTGCTGCTGCTGTTGTCGAAGTGTTACTGGCAAGCCACAGGAATCAAACCCTGCCTCTAATGGTACAGCGCTGCAGCACTAAAGACTTCTAGCTGCTGCCCTGAAGGCACTTTGGCGGAGTTTTTCTGTTGTCGAGAACTGAAGACTTGTGCCCTCTCACGTGGCTGGTCTGCTGCACTTATTGTCAGAAATAAGCAGAACGGCTCAGCCCCAAAACTCAAACTTCCCACTAAACTACAACTCCCCCAGGCCACTCCCCGGGCCCCCAAGCCCTGCTGGGGGCCCCTGGAGGCCCCAGCGGGACGCAGCAAAGCCCCAAGAGCCCACCAGCTGCATGTGCACCTTTTCATATATTGCCCCTGGCTGCAGCCCTGTGGCTGTGTGCCCGCAGTGCTGCGCTGCAGCAGCAGCAAAGCAGCGCACTGAAAGGCCGGCTTTCCGGGGGCCTCCAGCCCCCAAATGGGGCAAAGCAGAGTCTCCCTGGGGAGGCTAGAGGGCCCAGTTTAGTGGGAAGTTTAGTAGTGGTGAGACAACGAGAGAAAAAGCTGCTGGACTGCAGCAAGCGCGCGGCCTGGAGCGCGCAGCCCTCCGCCGCGCTGCAGCGAGCCTTCTGAAGTTTAAAATGAAATACTATTGTGCAATTAATTAATAAAAATAACAAATTTGGCAGTAAAAGGATTAAAATCGAGGGTTGAACAGACAGCGGGCGCAGATACACTGCGCCGTTGAGCTGCTGCTGCCTCTCGCGGCTAAACGCGGCACACCGAAGGCAGACTTCGTTTTAAAACCGGCCAGTCTCGTTTACACTGGGAAATAAATTGAAAAAGAAGTCCATTTGGGGAGTTTTTTAATCTAAAAAGGAAACTGAATAGGCGACGCCGCCGGGGGGGCTGCTGGCGTGAAGTGGAGGCTGTACATACACCCCAAAGGCGGCGTTTGTACAAAGCCGGGGGCCCTCAAGACTGCTGCTCATCAGTTTCTCTTTTCTTCTCTTATCTTGTCTTTTATTAGCCTTTACACTGCATAGGTACTCCGCTTTTGCCGCAGCAGCCAGGAGAGCCAGCAGTCGCAGCAGCACCAGCAGCAGCAGCAGCAGCAGCAGCTGCAGCAGCGGACTGCTTCTTGGTTTCCGCGTGGAAGAGGAGGCCGTCTCGGGCCGCGGCGCTGTCTTCCCGAGGTGTACGTACACCGCAACTGCAGCAAAGTCCGCATACACCCGAAGCAGCAGCAGCAGCAGCAGCAGCAGCAGCAGCAGCAGCAGCAGCAGCAGGCCCTTCACCATGGAAGTCCACACTTCGGACTATTACGCCATTTTGGGGGTTTCCAGGGGGGCCAGCTCTGAGGAAATCCGCAAGGCCTACAGAAAGCTGGCCATCAAGTGGCACCCAGGTCCCCCAAACCCTAAACCCTAAACCCTAAACCCTAAACCCTGAACCCTCACTTCCGGGCGATAGACTCGGCCTGCAGGGCCCGCAGCCACATTTGCCCCCGAGAGGAATTCCTGGAGAAGCTTCCTGCAGCAGGCCTTGCCCAAGGGCTTAGCAGCAGCAGCAGCAGCAGCAGCAGCAACAGCAGCAGCAGCAGCAGCAACAGCAGCAGCAGCAGCAGCAGCAGCAGCAGCAGAGTGTTGTGTGTGCTGCAGACAAGAACAGGGAAAGGCAGCAAGAAGCAACAGAGAGGTTTAAAGCAATTTCGGAGGCTTATGAAGTTCTTTCCAATGACGAGAAGCGCCGACTCTACGACAGTGAGTTCCAAACCCTAAACCCTAAACCCTAAACCCTAAACCCTAAACCCTAGGATGTACACGTATCTGGAGCCGCGCGTGCGTGCTGCTGCTGCTGCTGCTGCTGCTGCTGCTGCAGTCAGCTTCTCCCAGCCGCCAGAAGGGCCCGGGCTGCGGCGCACTGCCTCTTCTGCTGCTGCTGCAGCAGCAGCAGCAGCAGCAGCAGCAGAATTCGCAAGGTTTCATGAGGCCTTCCAGTTCAGCGACGCGCAGCGCATCTTCGAAATGGCCTTCGGGGGTTCTCCCTTTGGGCGGTGAGGGTTTAGGGTTTAGGGTTTAGGGTTTAGGGTTTATTGTTTCGGGCGGAGAGTTGAAGGTTTAGGGTTTGGGGGGCGGGGGTTTAGGGTTTACGCCGCTTTTTGGACGGTGAGGGTTTGGCGTCGAGGGTTTAGGGTTTAGGGTTTAGGGTTTAGGGTTTAGGGTTGGGCTGTTGGGTGGAGTGGAGGGAAGGGTTTTCTTTGTCTGGCGGGGAGTAGAATTTAGGGTTTAGGGTTTGGAGCTGCGAGGCGCTGACAAACCCTAAACCCTAAACCCTAATTTGTGGTTCAGGAGTTTCTTTGACGAGCCCGATGCGCTTTTTAGGGGAATGGGTCAGGGTTTAGGAGGCCAGTCTTCTTACCAGCGTTCGAGGACTTACAGCAACGCCCACTGTAAACCCTAAACCCTAAACCCTAAACCCTAGGTTTCAAACCCTAAACCCTAAACCCTAGGTTTCAAACCCTAAACCCTAGTTGAAACCCTAAACCCTAGACCGTAAGCAGGGCCCGCCCGCGCAGCCAGCTGCTTTAGTTCTTTGCGGCCCCGGCGCGCGCTCTGGCTCAGGGTTTCGTCCCGAGGGTTTAGGGTTTAGGGTTTAGGGTTTAGGGTTTAGGGTTTAGGGTTTTGCTGCAGCGGGACTGCAGCAGCGCGGCCAACAGTGCTCTGCCTTCAGCAGCTCCCACAGCGATGTTTTCGGGGATTTCTTCGGCGGCGCTTTCGGGGGTTTTGGCGGCAAGTCCCAAACCCTAAACCCTAAACCCTAAACCCTAAACCCTAAACCCTGAGGCGGGTGCACTTGGCATGAGGGGCCCGTAGCTGCTTCCTGAGCCGCAGTGCCTGCCGGCTGCGCTGCTGCGTGCTGCTTTGTTTCTGCTGCTGCATCTTTGCTGCTGCTGCTGCTGTGCTGCTGCTTTGCTGCTGCTGCTGCTGTGCTGCTGCTGCTGCTTTGCTGCTGCTGCTGCTGTGCTGCTGCTGCTGCCGTGCTGCTGCCGCGTCCGTGCCGCTGCTGCTGCGTCCGTGCCGCCTGGCGCCGCCGCTCCTCGCCCACCGCCTCCGCTGCTGCCGCTGCTGCTGCTGCTGCTGCTGCTGCTGCTGCTGCTGCAGGGGGCATGCAGCAGCAAATGCAGTCGATGGGCAGCGGGGGCTTCGTAATGTCTTCTTCTTCTTCTTTCGGAAACGGCGGATTTTCTCGCTCGGTGTCTTCGCACACAAAACTCGTCAACGGCCGCACAGTCACTGTCACGGAGGAGGTCACCACCACCCCTGACGGTCTGCTGCTGCTGCTGCTGCTGCTGCTGCTGCTGCTGCTGCTGCTGCTGCTGCTGCTGCTGCTGCTGCTGCTGCTGCGGCTGCGGTTTTGCTGCGGATGCTGCTTTTTTGTTGCTGCTGCTGCTGTTTTGCTGCTGCCGTTGCTGTTCCGCTGCTGCTGCTGTTTTGCTGCTGCTGCTGCTGCTGCTGCTGAGTGCTGCATGGGTGTTGATTTGCTGCGTCTTGCAGGAGTTACTCACCGGACAGTGACGCAGACTGAAGATGACGGGAGGGGCAACGTGAGGGTTTACCAAACAGACCCCAGCAGCAGCAGCAGCAGCAGCAGCAGCAGCAGCAGCAGCAGCACGAGGCGGCTGCGCTACTAAGACTTCCGCATTTTTGGGGGCTGAAGACAAGTGCGCCTCCGCTTTGCCAGCAGCGCGCAAGGAGGCTGCGAGTCCCCAGCAGCAGCAGCAGCAGTTGCTGCTGCTGCTGCTGCTGCAGCAGTTGCTGCTGCTGCTGCTGCAGCAGCAGAACCCCAGTGCCCTGTACTTTGTACTTTGTGATGATGTAGAGTTGTGTTGTGCCCTCCTGAACAGACCGCCGGCGCTGCAGCAGCAGAGCCTCTTGCTAAGGAAAGCTGAGGGCTGCTGCTGCTGCTGCTGCTGCTGCTGCTGCCGTGGGGGAGGAGGCATTGCTGTAGAAATGTGGCGGCAATGCGGTGGCGGCAGCAGCAGCAGCAGCAGCAGCAGCAGCAGCTGCTGCAGCAGCAAATCGAAGTGCTCTTGCGTTTTTTCGGTAGTTACAATTTTGGCTGCCTGTCGCCT